GGCGTGAAATTTTGAATGTTGCCAAGGAGTTTTTAAAAACTGACCTCGGTGCGTGCCAAATCTTCGGTTGCGAGAGTGCGTGCAACACTATAAACGCCGCCAAGGTTGGATGGTGCGGTGATACATCGTCTTGGCCGCTCTACCAAGTAGAGTCAGGATAGCTTTGACACATATCTCACTTGAGACAGTAGACCGCTGATTCAAATCCGGCAAAACGCAACCACGTTTTTCGCGGCGCTGGTATGCAAGGATGACGAAGGCGTGCTTGGATAACCAAAGGTTTTGAAATTCCCTTTTGTGGGTGCTTACGAAGGAGGGTTGACTGTTTGTGTAAGCAAACACAGGTTATAGTGGTATTTGCAAATGAGATCCAGGGTATGAGTATCTCTAACGTCAAAAAAGTCATCTCACATGTATACATAGCACCGGTCGTGTGTCATAGCTTTATAGCTGCATTCACATTAAATGATAAAAAAAACGCTAACACAAGGTATACCCATCCTCCATTTACCAAGCACTAGTCGGTCGGAACTTTTATTATCGAGCCTAGTAGGGTCGAACATAGTGTATTCCAACACAGAAACACTAGAAAATAGAAAAGCCAAGACTTCATCAATTACCTCCATTACGCATCAATTGACTTATCTCTGTACTCCACATTCTCGACATATTTTCTACACACATCTCGGAACTTTCTACCGAGGGGAGGCTACTCAAGGTGTTCCAACTCCTAATGCGCCAACCACATTTTCTACTCTACTACATCATATCATTGATATTCCGATTAGGCGCGTCATAGTGAATCTGAGTCTTATCGGATCATGATTCCAGGTAAGGCTTGCTGCAACTATATTCTGTTTTTATCAAGGAAATAATTACCCCTTAGTCATTGAGGTTGTAGAGCGCATTGATTCAAGTAACTACCGAAGTGAAACTAAGTACAGAATTTGCAGTCACGTGTGTATCATCAACGTGGCCTAGTTGATAGCCTCAATTATTCTAAATTCTAACAGTTTTCATGATTGTAGCAGTCCTATATTTGTGTCACAGATCAACTGTAGAGAGCAATGAGCATTTGCGGGAATGATGGTATATTAACAATTCAACTATTTAAAGATATGATGTAAAGGCCGGGCCATGTAAGTATAGAAATTCTACATTCTAAGTTCTTCTCTCCAAGGTCAGCTCACTTCTAGATGATTCCAGTTGCCACTACAAGGTTATTATTTCTAGCAGCCTATCTAAGGTTCGGTCTCAGTCTTACTCATATAGGGTCTTTTCTAGTTCTTCTTTCAGAGGCTCTAGTACTTCGGCAGGGCTTTAGTGCCTGCCCAATCTCTGGTTGTCGTATTCTAGTACTTGCCAGTACTGGCTGCAGGAAAATACCGGCTATGTAGCCGTTATAATTTGTATGGCTAGGATGGACACCTCTCAAGCTGGCAAGGCTAATGACGTAACTATTATTAGTATCCGTATGACAGTCACTAGGTGTTCAATAATAGGACACAAGTCACAGCAAATCTTTATACAGATGAAAAGACGGGAAGAACGAGAATGACCTCTAGAGGAACACCGGTCTGTATCCATAAAAGCCTTAACAGGGCCCAAAGCAGCAAAGCCATGCAGTTAAGAAGTGGGCACATTGAATCCAACTCTTACCTGCACAGAAGACATGTTCCCGGAGAAGACAGCCAATGATGCTAATGTGGATATCCGCCCCAGAACGTCAAGCACATGATCATGGCCTACCCCGACTGGGCTATAGGGAGTGGGAAGATACTGAAAAAGGCAGAGAATCGGCCATACGAAGCGATGCTGAACAACCTGGAAAATGTAACAAGAATTACAAAGTGGATTCAACATGAAGGGAGATTGGAGCAGTTTTGACTGACGCTTGAAGTAGAGGCCACGATGAGGGAGAGAGAGGAGAGCAGGGGAAAGATGATCTCCTGCCAGTAGCAATGAAGTGGACGGTATCCGCACTGGACATAATAGTATTAGTACACTTCTTGAAGGTAATACATAACTAAAGTGTATTTAAATTGAAAAATTGAGGGGGTTTATACCATAAAGGTTTTCTCCTACATAAATATTAGAGTTCGTAGACACCTGCATGGGCCTTAAGGCGCCAAATCGGGCTAAATGAAATCAAAATTCAAATAGGACACAAGTTTTATATGGGTGAGCCAAAAGCAAAGATGCAGGAGTTTGGGCTGTAATAATGATGATGATATTTTTCTCGTGACTGGTTACTAGCCAAGCACCTAGAGGGCATGGCACGGGTAAATAAATTAATCTGGAATCCTGATTTGGAGCCTTGAGGCCCATGCAGGTTTTTATCGGAAGATATGTACTTTAAGTAGGTTGACTCAATTTTTGATTTAGAACATTCACACTCAGATTTCATTTGCAGATACCACTTGAGGTTGACCTTCATGGCACAAAGCCTCTTCCGTGCATACCCACCACACGGAAAAGCGTGGAAAACCTGTGGCTATCCGAGTGTGCTTTCATCATCCCACAAGTACAATATCACTGCGAGAGAGACTGAGGTGTGTGGGTCTTACTAGGTTTGAACCAGCTTTCTCCTGTCCCGAATCGGATAGGTATTCATGCTACCCAGCATCTACTTAGGAGAACGGCCCGGATAGTGCACCACTACACCATCCAGCCCCAGGTTTGGGAAGCTAGATCTATGTCAATCTTCGCTACCTACATCATTGTTTAATAGAAACCTAGACACACAAAACTAAAAACAAATAAAACTACCCATTCGAATGTGCTAGCGCCCTGCACTATATCTCAATTCTCGTATCACACCGAACGGTTCCAAGAAGCATTACAGTTGACCTTTACATTCCATTTTCACGATTCAATCTTGCTGTAACACTTTTTTTTTATCATTTAACGTGTATGCAGCTATAAAGCTCTGACACGTGACTGGTGCTATATATACATTTTAGATGACTTTTTTGACGTTTGAGATTTCCTTTTCATATATATAACTGTCTTTTCTACTGTATTAGAATACAAAAGTCTCAGCTCGAGAGTACTTTTGACTTCTTTCGATAGTTCGGGGTGCATGGCAGGTAGGTCTTGGCCCATTTATAACATGACAGGCTTCTTGAAAGGTATCGGCACGTCGGGTAGTTTATGTAGACTGAGCTGGCCAACACGAGACCTTAATGTTGTGTTGTGAGCTAGCACGACGTTAAATAATTATAAAAAAATAAAAAATAAATTGAAGTTGGAGATACTCATACCCTGGATCTCATTTGCAAATACCACTATAACCTGTGTTTGCTTACACAAACAGTCGACCCTCCTTCGTAAGCACCCACCAAAGGGAATTTCAAAACCTTTGGTTATCCAAGCACGCCTTCGTCATCCATGCACACCAGCGCCACGAGAAATGTGGATGCGTTTTGCCAGATTTGAATCAGCGATCTACTGTCTCAAGTGAGATATGTGTCAAAGCTATCCTGACTCTACTTGGTAGAGCGGCCAAGACGATGTATCACCGCACCATCCAACCTTGGCGGCGTTTATAGTGTTGCACGCACTCTCGCAACCGAAGATTTGGCACGCACCGAGGTCAGTTTTTAAAAACTCCTTGGCAACATTCAAAATTTCACGCCCATCGAAATTGTATACATCCTCTGCATCATCTTGTAAACTTGTCCTAATTCTTCTCACGTCCATCCCAAAGAGCTATCTCCCAGATTTGTGCGCCACGCTTTGTTTCCTCCGTCGGGTGTAAATATCGGCGTGGGCGTGTATTTGGTGGTCAACTGAGGCCAGAGAAAGTCAGCGAGAGGTGTAGTCATTGAAACGAGGATGTACTAGGTCCTACTTGTAGACTTGATGAAGCTTAGTTGAGAATCGGACTCTTTGGGAGTGAAAGATTGAAATGGTGGAGTAATTTGTAAATTTGCCTCGTGGGCCAACTTCTTTGATATTGCGAAATTTGACTGAACTTGGCTCTGGGAGAACAGCTCACTCCAAGGTCGGTGGAGGACACCGCATACAGGTGTTCAGTTTTGCCCTACGATTACATGTTAAATTATTGATAGGACAATTACGAAACATCAGGGCTGGTATCGACTGAGGCTTAGTCGTGTCAAGGCTAGAACGCGGGGAATGAAAGTCCAGCCGATGGCCGGACGTGGATCAAAAAACAAATATGCACAGTACGCGCAATCTAGACATGTAGGTGCGACAAATATCATGAATCAAGAAGCATTTACTGATCTGCAGCAGCTGAATTATCCCGTATGAATTCTAAAGAGGAGTGCTTGTTGTCCAGCTCGTAAAACTATAAAAATGCGTATCATTTCGGCCTGGCCAGCGAAAATAGAGGCTTAGTAGTGAATAATTCTGGCACACCCCTGATCCCGAGTTCCTCCTTGCGACACCGACTGGTCTTTTACATTGCATGAGCCTATGTGATCCATATAGTTTCATGATTTTTCAACTTTAATAGTCGATCTAAAGATAGCCCTGTCCCTAACCTTTGCACAGTTCTTAAGCCACAAACAGTATACGTCATTAGTCTCCAGAATACTACTTGCGATACGTCTCAATTTTTAAACGTCTTATGACTCTTAGACATCACAGACTAAGGATATGGCTCCTCTGAGAGTAGTATCCATCTCGGCTATTTTACGCCTCGGCCGTGCAACCATTACAATGTGCTCATAAAATCGAGTGTATAGCCAATATTCGCATGAGTATGTTTCTCGCGCCATAAATATTGTTTGACTCAGGCTTCTCATGATTTCCTATAATCCCTAGTGTAGTGCTTCGGCGCTACATTATATCCTCAGTTTTCGGAAACTCGTTAGATCTATGATCCGAGCTCAAGTGATAGTTAGCTCATTTTAGAGTAACAACCTATTTCTGGCATCACCATCGTCTTTACCCCACTGACTACGTCAAAATTACTATTGACGCCTGTTGAAGTTCAAGTTTTTCATTTTAATTTCAAATGCTCTGGCTCCTCAAAGTGTACCTTCACATTCTATCATGGAGTCCACATTCTCTGTATCATCCACACCGCTCTCTTCAGAGTCTTCGTCTTCGTTAGAGTATTCGGGTTCACTATTTTCACCATTTTGACCATCTTGACCTACCACAGACATGTAATTTTCTAGCTCCTTGGCCATTTTTTTCGAGAAACCGGAAGCAGCTACTGAAACGTCCAGTCGAATCGCTCCGTCTTTCCCTATCAGCTTACGAGCTTCTGCAAAGGATGGCCCCTTTTCATCACTTGTGAAGTGATAACGGCGTTCAAAGAAACGCTTGATGCAATTAACATCGCGATCAAAGTAATATTCAGCGTTTGTGTGATCTACGGAGACCATCTGCGGGAAGTCTATGAGTATTGGCGTCAGTAAAATAGATGCGTTGGTAACCCCATTTTCCGTAACTTTAATCGTTTCTTCCTTGATAAGGATATTAAACTCATTAAAGTCCCCATGAATAAGGCCGTACTGTGCTAGTCGCATAATCATGGAAATTAATTCAGCATAAAGATGAGCTGGGTTAGGTACCGAAGATATTTGTCGCATGGGAAAGGCATCAATCAATGACATCACTATTGTGTGTCGTGATTGAGCTAATGGCTCTGGCACTGGAAACCCATTCTCTCGGAGCGCTTTCATAAATGTATATTCTTTTAAAGCTGCAAGTCTTGACAAGTACATCCAAGATCCTGATGTTTGATTCTTTAGATAGTCTCGATTTGTCTTGACCGTTCGGAAGGATATTCGGCCTAGTCTGTGTATTTTCAGTACCATTTGCGCACCTTCTTCGTTTGCAACGACAAATATATCACTCTCTTTGCCCACACCGATCTGATTTCCCACGCTGTAAAGGTCTTTGCGCTTTCGATAGGTGTTCAGTGCCAGGTAGTCAAGTCCACCATATGTTAAGCGGTACCCATCATATTTCGCGTTTTTCATTCGCGCTATGAGCCCAACCTTTGCGAGAGATGAGATACTCCGATGCACCCCAGATCTTAGACCGGAGATCTGTCCTATCAATTGCGTGGGGACAACTTCATGGTTCTTAGAGCCAGTTTCGACAGCAGTCAGAGTCCTCCAATCTTCAGGCGTTAAGTATCGAAGTTGTTTTGTGTCAAGCCTCATGTCGAGAGAATCCTCTGAAGCTAGTTGAGCAAGACTAGTAGTTTTAATGGAGCTGTTTAGGGATCTGGATTGATGATCGTAGCAATTATTCCTCTAACTCCCGATATATGTTATTATTCTGGGCTGCTGCAAGATTTTAATTGTCAAAAGTGCCTAGGGTTGAGCTGCATTCATATTTGGGCGAAGCATACGATATTAAGAAAGTTTAGCGTGTGCGAAGAATTGCGCGCGCTTAGCGCTATTACCCAGTTTAAGCGTGGCGCAACTTAATATGCTCGCGAACGTCACTGAGGCACTTTTATCATAAGATTCATTGATCGATTGATAATAGAACGTGCCAGGAACAAGTCCTATTTCAAACTTGACATGACTCCGGCATCAAATTCCGAGAGAGTCAATGATACCAAGATGACCAATCCAAAAGTATTCAAAAAAACATGAACTCAAAATGTCTAGGTCGAGTGCCCTGCGTCCCGATTAAACCCCTCGATGATGCTCACCAAGTGATTTATTTCTACTTCAACACCTCGAGTCCCGCCAACCATGGCCGTACTGAGCGAAGTTGTTTTATCATATCTCCATCTACACAAGCGTGCGTAGTTTGCCTGATTTTGATATGTTGGGATCACTGTCCGAAATCTCGGTCTTGGCAGCCAAAAGTTGAAAAACGTCAGTCACATCATGCTCAAGAGAGATCTCTTTCCTCTCGTTCTACTTCCTAGTTGCCTACCCTTCCTCCAGAACTAAAACACTGCTAGAGCAATGGTCCCCCAGAAGCCAAGCCCCGAGCCCTGTATATTATGACTATATCTCATCGCGAGTATAGGCAACATTGTAATTATATAGTGGACAATGAACGGTTATTAATGTTGCTAGGTCCCCTTGTCAATTGAAGTAACTTCTGGATCGGTCATTGAGGCGAGGTGGTGTATGGCAAGATCGAGTTGGAGGAATCGAGTGCGAATGATGGATACAACACTGATGAGGAGCAGCCTATTACAGATGCCCTTATGTTTGCTTTCGACTTCGTTTTGGTTGTGATTATTCTTGGCTATCCTAGAATAACAGAGAATCCTGAGCAATGATAACGGTACAGCAGTAAGGTAAAGAATTAGGTTTGGACAGCTCTATAAAGATTAAATAACGGGTGATGGAACTTCAATGCCCATCAATAGTGTACATTATAAACATGGGAGCCAGAAAATATCATTTCTTCAACTCATAGTATGCATGTGTGGGTTTACCGTGCTACTTGAGGCTATCTAACAAATTGGACTCCTCTCAAGCCTAGGCCTCCCTTGTACAGTGCTCCTATCCTCTTATGTTACTTGAAAGATCATTGATATACTGCCCGTAATGAATAGCTATTCAGCTCAGTGTTTACCCATGGAATTCGGCCATCTTTTCCACGGAACCTTCTACCCCCCCCCCCCCCCCAAAAAAAAAGGTAGCAATGGAAACTGCGAGCGCGGGAAAAAGTATTAAAAAACCTGCAACCCCATTCAGGCGAGTGCTAGGCACCTTGTCATAGCTGAATAGCTGAATAAAATACGAATTAAAAAGAAAGAGGCCTAAATACCGGGACCATACGAGATTCGCATTTCCATCTAAATCTCCCTTCTTTGTTACATTCGAGGCCGGCTTGATCCAATCCACCATCTCCGTATCGGGTGCTAGGTACGCTCCGGAAACTCATCGGATGGCTTTTCCTCCATGATCAAGGGTTGGTGATGAGAAGGGCTCCGACCCTACCATCTGATATGATCGTGGTTAGCTTCATGATAGTGGTGATAGGGAAATGTGTTGAGAGATGAAGACGATACAGACCGCGAAAGCGATTGAGAATCCTCGTCAAAGTGAGGACTTTGTTACTCAATCTCGGCTCTGCAGACTCTACAATGAGAGCTGGAGGTTCGTAGGGGACACCAGTAACATTTTTTGAACATATGTCGCCTTGACCTTACAGTAGTGCCTTCTACAGGTTAATGCCTTATTTGGTTATAACCGGAGTTTTTTATTCATTTTATTGTCCTTTTTGAGTCTATGACTATGTAGGATGTTGTTATATTAACTAGGCTATATAGGAGCAGGACGATGGATACTCTCGGGGAAGTTATGCTCGCAGTAGGTCTCTATAATCACTGTCGCGTGTGTTCTCGCGATATGTAAGACTTGAATCTGTATTCTCGTGAAAAGGAAACTTAGTTACAATGAATGGACGGAGGTTGTGACCTCTTTATATCTTGCTCCAGACTTACTGTGTTGTTCACAGCCTAGTGCTAGAACATTCCCTTGTGATATCATTTCTAACCTTTGAGAAATGACCAGCTCGTTCTCCTTCGGTCCATCAGTCTTTCGCTGATTCCGTTATCTCTATTCCATCGAGTTCTAGTTTGGTTCATAATACCCACACATGCATTACACAATAAATACCAGCAACACATTTGCCCTCGCACTGCCCTTGATTTTTTCAAGTGAAAATATCGCATTCTACCTACGACATTTTACTGACACATTCATCTCTTAATCACCCATGCCGCCCCAGTCCTCCGCAGAGGCTGGCCCCTGGCCCCCCCTCCCCACTCAATGTTCGACGCGTCAAGACGTCGAAATGGTCCTTAACGGGCCACAACCGCCATCACAACCACCCACCCAACAATTTGTAGAGCCAATGTGCGAGGCTAGTCATCGAAGCTCGCCCCACTAACACATTCCGTCGCCTCAAATTGTCGCGACCAAATCCCTCGCCGAACAGGGCAGGATATTCCAGACGCACTCTGCACAAGCAGAGCGTTTCATCATCGGGTTCTGCAAGCTGTTGATACCAGTCACTGACGAGAGACTTCGAAAACTCTTTCTGAGAACTGGCTCACAACATGTTATGTACAAGGGTCGAGTTGAGACTTTTCCTTATAGGGAATAGCGTTTAGCTAAAGGTAACAATGTATTTATAGAATTCCTCCCGGCAGGGAGAAGAAGCAGGAATGAATTGAGTAACCCCACACAAGCTTGTGAGTTGACCATTGGTAGTGTTCCGACACTGATCAGTAGACGTACAGATCAGATACACCCTTTGAAGAGAGATCCAATCGCATAGTCCCTGACAAAGGCCTCTATTTGATTGTATTTGCTAAGGAGTTTAAATTTATGGTTGACCCCTTTCGCAAGGCCCTCAACTTCGAAGATATACTCAAGAAATCGACCCCTGACAAAGGCTCTCGATTTGCGTCCATCACGTATAACAAACCCCTCCAAATCCCGACTATCTTAACCTATCCTATTTCAAAATGTCTGACCCAACAAATGAGTCCGAAACCACAGCAACAAGAACAGCAGCAGCAGCAAAAGCAATGAACGTTTTGATGGAATCTAAGATTATAGAATACAATAAGTACAAGTTCAAGGACGACAACCTTTGGGAGGCGTTCAAGGATGACTTCTCCAATTGTACAGCTGAGGACTTCAAACTTGCTAAACTACCGCTTCAACGCGCGCTCCGCTCACACCTTAGAACTTTTGGGGTATGGGTGAAATGGGACAGAAATACCACAATAGCTAAGTCCCTCTACAATGTTGTCATAGAAGAAAGCCCAACTGAGTGGACTCTTGAAGAGATATCTTCGTCAAACGAGACCTTCTCTTCAAACAAAATAGCCTCGATTATGAATTCAAAGGTCAAACTTCCACAACCTGAAACAAAATTCGACAAAAACTATGACAACTCATTCACCGAAAGTCCCTCCTATAAATTTATTCCAGATCAAGACCTCAAGCAAGATCTCTATAGTCCAGGCGATAAGCCTTCACAAAAATCAAGCCAAGATCGAGGTTATGGCAAAGAACTTGCAAATTTGGCCAGAATGTATGACAATGAAATGAAATATCGGGGAGAACAAGACAGCTTTGACTTCAAATTGGCAATCTTCCTCGATAACTGTGAAAGAGCGGATATTCCAGATCGCATCCGAGCAAAAGCATACCCAACAATGCTGAGTGGTGCCGCATTGAACCATTATTATGCAAATATAGCATCAAATCAACTAACACGTAACTTCGAAGTAATGTGTCATACTACATAGAACTACTTCGAGGGTGCAGAGTATAAAAGAAGCAGACTTGCAAGATGGGACGAGCTAAACTTGGGATTAGTAATAAAAGAAAATTCGGAAAAATCAACGGAAGAATGTCTTCAGATCCTAATCAGCGAACTCCGAAATCTACAGTTGAGTCTTTCAAAAGAACTCCGATCAGACAGTTTCTTCCACAACAAGCTTATCAATGCCTGTCGCAGAGTTCCCGCCTGCTCCTTCGCTTGTTTTAAACCGTGCGAAACACTCACTGGATTAATCAATGATCTCCAATCCTCAATTAAAACCTACGAAGAATCAAAAGAAACTGAACAAACCCAATTCTTCACGGACCGGAGGTACTATAAACGATCAAATGATCAAGGACAAAACAGCGCAAATACAAAGATACGAACTCCGTATAAGTATCAACAGGGGAATCTAAATAAAGGGAAATGTTATGTCTGCAAAAAGCCTGGATGCTGGTCCAGTAACCATTCAGAATCAGAACAACAACAGGCAAAAGCCAAATTTAAGGAACAATTATCAAAGAATTTTGAAAAACACGCAAGTCAATACATTGCAGAATATGAGAGGGAACAAGAGTCCAACGGAAATGATTTTTCAGATGATAATGTTCAAGAAACAATGGAAACATTGATCCTTAATATTGATTCGTCTTCTCCACATCACACAGAGGATCAAATGTCTGAACCGTCAATATATTTTTCTTCGATAAATAGTGTTATCAACCCGAGGGCACTAACGCAACACCTAGAAAACCGGGCATTTGAACATGCTATCACGCGTATCGACCCCACAAACTACATTGACCCTCATTCAACTAATTCTTTTTCATTTTTAACATCATCAAGATATGCAAAAGATCTTTTTTACGGCATAGTTATCGATACCGGCGCCTCAAGGAATTCA